ACACGCAGACACACATATACACACGCAGACACGCAGACACACATATACATACGCAGACACACATATACACACGCAGACATACGCAAACACACGTTAGTTTGTTTTTCGGAGTTTTGTGAAAGCCGCAGACGACACAAACAATTTTGTAACTCATAAATGCATAAAATATATGTACGGTGCTGGTTTGGAGGACGCAAAGTGTGTTTACTGCAGCCTCTCACATGATATCGCACAGTGATCTCTGTATTCGCATTTATTCACCTCGTTCGCATGTTTGTTTCGCTCACCAAGGGAACCCAAAAATTTGATGCTGTTTTTGCAGATCGTGGGGGGGGGGGGCTGTGCAGAGTCGACTACAGGGGCTTTTAGCAGAGGCAGTGCTGTGTTGCTGTTTGCCGCGTGAACATGTGTACGCCCGGCCCGGCCCGGCCCTTACGCGGTCACGTTGCACTGCACCCATTTCAACAGGGCCTTCTTGGCGTTGCCGTGGACCCTGGTCAGCACCTTCTTCTTCACGGGCGGGCTGGCTGTGTCCGAGCTGCCCAGGCTCTCCATGGAGGAGGTGCTGCTGGATAGCGACTGCAGCATCGGCAGGTTGCTGGTCAGCTCCTCGATCTGCAGGGGGCGATAGAGAGAGGAGGTGGGACGTCAGCATGGGAGAGGCAGAGCTTGCACAGCCAATGAGGGCACGGCGGCGATCAAGGATGGGGACTCGAGTCCTAGGAGGAGTCATGCTGTAAAAACCTTAAGTAAAAACCTCATCTGAGCAGAGTCAGTGTCAGTAACCAGTAAGAAGACGTCAAGACCACTAATCACTCTGAGTAGATAAGCAAGCGTGAGGTTACCTGGAAGTAGAGGATGATGGTCCACATCAGGCCCAGCACAATGGAAGGCCGCCCATCCACAATGTCCGTGGCATTAATGTTGACCAGCTTGATCTGTGGAAGGTGTTAAATCTTTAGATCAGATCATATGCGAAATGACACTTCGGGGTATTAACAGATCCCATAACCTGGGATACACTGAATGGATTTTATGCATGAGTACAATTCCAGTTAGCATCTGGCTTATAGTAAATGAAGCATGCTGGTTACCATTATCCACTAGTAACATTATAAAGATATTACAGCATGCTATACAGTTACTCCAAGCGCTCATTGAGTAGAAGTACATGGAACAGAGAACTCAAATATCCAAATACAGACTGTCGCCAACTCACGGCTGGGTTCAGTTCGGACAGGCAGGTCTTGCGTCATAATGGACGTATGTTGGAATAGGATGATCGCTCTGATTTTTAGGTGTAAGAATGAGACTGGGATATTTGTGTGAAACTGGGATAGTCGCGTATGTGTATATACGTTTACATTTTTTTTAAACTTGGGCCATAAGTGCCAGTCGTAAGTCGCATGGGGTGTAAGTCAGGGACAGTCTGTAAAAGTATAAGGACAGAATAACATGCATGTGACATACAAGGGAATCACAGGTCCAGTCACACATCTGCACCCACAGAAACTACAGAGCGAGAGACAAAAGTGTATGCAGGCGGTAGATATACACAGGGAAGGTGAGGAACGCGCACGTGTGACATGCGGAGGCCTCGTGCACGGGCGGAGTTTACAGACAGAAGCGTGCAGAGGCTCGACAAGCCGGTGAGTCGTCACTGACCGGAGATCCCCTGTAAGCGGACTGTCGCATGGGTGAGGAGAGATATTACAGACACGTCAGAAACGGGAGCGGAGATGAGAGGACAACAGACAGCCACCACCTCACGTACCCCCTACAGCGACGTGACGACCTGCAGCTTTCCTCTGGGGTTAATAAATACCCCTCCCTCCAGCAACAAGGGGGGGTTCCAAAGGGTGCTGGTTTTATTTTGATTTTATTTTAATTTAGCAGACACTTTCGTCCAAGGTGATCTACATTTTTTTTGATAAAGCAGGATCAGGCAGCCGAACTGGAGGTTAAGGGCCTCGGTCAAGAGCCCAACAGGGGAACCACTCTGCCAACCCCGGGATTTGAACCAGCAACCTTCTGATCACAGGCAGAACTGAGCTGGGTCTTTGCAGAAAAGGCTGAAGCCCTACATGGAGTCTTGTGTTTTTAACCAAACAGCAGCTGCAGTGAAATTTCATTAGAAGGGGGAGCTGGGCCGGCTCTGAACACAAACACGTTCTCCCCCAGGACGCGATCCAGCAGATGTGATTACGTACCCGCCTCCCCTCCAGGAACTTGAGCGCCGTGCCGACGTTGGACACCCAGTGGATTCTCCTCAGCTGCCGGCCTTGTTCACTGGGCTGGGGAGGGGGCCGGGGAGGGAGCGATAGAAGGGAGCATTAAGCAGACAGGTCGATACGCAGCAGCGGGTTTTCTTCATGACTTTAATACATCTCTGAGGAAACCACGAGACAAAGAACTTTAAAAAAGACATTCTCTTTTTCTATAATGGTCCCATCACCACGGAGCGCTTGAGGGATACAGAAGCTTCTCAGATACTTCTCAGTATCCCGATAAGCAGGATCGGCAGTACAACAGATCCACCCTCTATGGATCCGAGAGACTCACCAGCTTCTGGCCCGACAGGACCTCCAACAGGGCTAGCAGCTTCACCCCATCCTTGATGTCCTCGAACAGGTCGTTCACTACAAGGGGGGGTGTGCGCTGTGGGGGGGAAGGGCCAAAGACAGTCGTTACTAATCAGAGAATAATGGCTAATGCACACTCATTTAATCACTTATTAATGCGGCTAATGTGCTTAAGAAGCGTGATGTTCTTCACGCAAGTCTGACAGGCTCTCTGTGTGACTGACAGCTGAGTAGCGCTTGCTCAGAGTACATAACGCAGCAAGCAGGCCGTCAGAGCACAAAGACAACACAATATCACAGACAGTTTGTAGAGAATAACACAGAGTATACAGAGAATAACAGAGAGATTATACAGAAAATAACACAGAGCACACAGAGAATAACACAGAGTATACAGAGAATAACAGACAGATTATACAGAAAATAACACAGAGCACACAGAGAATAACACAGAGTATACAGAGAATAACAGATTATACAGAAAATAACACAGAGCACACAGAGAATAACACAGAAAGTAAACAGAGAATAACAGACTATACATAAAATACCACAGATAGCACACAGAGAATAACAGTAAATGTGCAGAGAATAACACAGAGAGCACACAGAGAATAACACAGAGATTATACAGAAAATAACACAGAGCACACAAAGAATAGCACAGACAGTATGCAAAGAATTACAGAGAGTATACAGAGAATGTCATGGAGATTTTATAGAAAATAACACAGAGAGCACACAGAGAATAACAGGGAGATTATACAGAAAATAACACAGAGCACACAGAGAATAACACAGAGAGTATACAGAGAATGACACCAGCAGTATACAATTTTGATGCAATTTCTCTCAAAATCTGAACACATCCAGAGCTTCACCCATACGATGTGTCTGCAAAATCAGGTGTCTGAGCTGCCCTTCTGCTATCAGCACACACTGCTGCTTCTGTTTTGCTGAGATCTGATTAGTTCCGGATTTTCACCCACAAAATGGGTTTGCAAAGTTTAAAAATGAACGATGAAATACTTTTTAGTGGCAACGAACATTCATTCCCATCCAGGGAGTACAATAACACTATGAGGATAATGCAGGCACTATGCAGGCAGTACAGTGATTACACAGTGAATACACAGAAAATACGCAGGAACAACACAGTGATTACACAGTCAGAATACAGACAACATCGTTATTACATAGGCAGTATACAATAATCACACAGTAAATACATGGCAAGTACACAGTGAGTACACTGCAAGTACACAGCGAGTACATTGTGAGTACTGGGGCTTCACTGTGGGTGAGTTGCCTCCACACACGCTGTGACATCGGCTTTGGCAGATAAGCAGAAAAGGAGGGGGGCAGACACCCCATTACGACGAGCCCAAGTCTCTCTCTGGCTCACACGCACATATCGCCCCCCCCCCCCCGACCCCCCCGCCTCCTCCTGACAGCGCATTAGGGATCTCCCATAATGCCGCATCACGTGACGCCATTCAGGGGGTTTAAGCGACCACGAATACCAGCAAAGTACATTTCAATCCCCGCTTCATTTAGAGATTAAAAAAGCCCGTTTCAGAAGGATCTGTCAAAGCTGCTGTCTCCCACTAACGGCTGAGCCAGCGCTACCCCCTCCCCCCCCCACACTCCCCCATTCCCCAATTCCATACCAGCAAAGCCACACCTTCTGCCTAGAGGAGAAACATTTAAACAATAGGAAACACACTCAGGGGAAGACATCAGCCATTCATAACTAAATTAACTATTCATAAGCTATTTTTATTCCCCCGGAAATTCACCCCACTGACCCCTAGCTCATAAGTGGCATTTCCATATAAACACGCTGTCTCTGAGATATTAATAAAATCTACAGCTTTTAGGGAGTGCAAGTCACATTTATGATGCAGTGATAGAATAAGCGCAGATGCTGATGCTGACGCTGAGTGTGTGTTGATTGGCTGAGAGCGTGCACGTTGGCTTTATGGCGGATGGCTGTTTTCACTGACACAGGCGCCGTGCGACAAAGCATCGCATTGGGAGTCTGCCGATCCGTGGCACTGCGACCGATTCGACGCGGGGCGGGAGCATGCCTGAGGGCTCTCAGTGTCTCGTCAGCGCTGTCACCGGCTCTGGGTCATTAACGGGACGAGCTGAGATTCCCATCAGAGCAGCCCATAAATCGAGCCTTCACCCGGCCTTATAGGAGAGGCTGAAATTCAGACCGACGGCGCCCCCTAGCTACTGAACTGGAATGCATCACCTGGCGAGATGCTGGAGAGCTTTTTCTCTGGCCCAGACTCTGTCATCATTCGCACGCAACAGGCTACAGATACATGCCCACAGATCAGTACTACATTCACCCTATTAGAAAAACTGCTAATCTGCTCTAATATTTGACTGGCATCCCATCCAGGGTGTCCCTTGTCTTCATCCCTGCGACTCCCAGTGAAGACTTCAGAACCACTGCAAGCTCATACAAAGGGACTGAGGTCTGAAACAGTGCCCCCTGCTGGGCAGGACAGAGAGGAGACCGGTCACAATTCCAGAGAAACCAACATAACTTGTAAACACCTTCCACACATTTCACACACACGCCCCTGAAAGCACAATCAGACGGCAATCTTAGAGATAATGCAGTATTATTCTCCGCTGACTCCAGCATCCATGACTGTGAAATTAAAAGCCAGGGAATTTTAATCCCGTTCCCACAAATCTTCCTCGCTTCAGGGTTAGTTACTCTGATCCATTCAGCGCCGTCTGGCTTTTAACCAAACAGCATAAAATAGGTGATGAGATTTCGACCGAGAGCAATTTGTCTCAGTGCCACAACAACGATTCTCCTGCTGGGATCTGAACCAGCAGCTATTGGTCATAGGTCCACAGGTCCAGAACAGAAGGCTCTGACACGTCTGTCAGTGCATTAACCCTATTAGGGGACAGTTTTAACTGTACAAGGTGACCACACTGCTCAGACCCGGCCTCCTGGGAGCAGGAAGCAGACCATTAGTTCTGTTGCTCGGCGACCACGGGAGCAGGGGGTACGACGGTCGATATCACCTCAGTAGCAGATAACGAGCAAATGAGACGTATCCATTTATCCTGCCCACAGAGCAGGCAATAAATTAACTTAGATGGAGTGATTTAGGGTAAGAGGAAAGTGTGGCTTTCATTCATTGTTCAGCCTGCCAATCACGGGACATTATAGCAGCCATCGCCATGACGATCTCAAACTCGTGAAATGGGAGTGAGATGGGGGAACGATAGCCAGGTAGCCTTTTCACATGGGGCTGTCTATTCGCTGGAACCCTTCGGGCAGGAAAGCGGGCAGATCCAGAGAGGGGTGGGGAGTCTAACCAGGTACAGAAGTGACACACAAGGCAGCCAATACTGGAAAGTCAAACAGACGCTGGGGGCTTTTCTCAATACCAAGAACACGAAGACCCTACTTGTGGTCTTGTCAAGACCAGTCTTGCTAACTTGCCTCCCAAGAACGAACTTGGGGCGCAATGAATAATGAGACTGGTCTCGTTCTGTGAGGATGCAACCATTGTCCTTGATATTTGGGGCAGAGCAAGACCAAAGTCCGGGGATTTTTACCTTCCTCCGTACTTCCTAGTATTGGACCTGGTCTCCGGCAATGGAAGATGACGTAAAACGGGTTCGCGAGAACACAAGTACGGTCAAGGGTGCATATTGAGAAACACTCCCAGTCTTAAGAAGGAACATTAGTGGGGTGTGGCCTTGAGCCACAGGGCCTGGGAGTGTCTGGGGGGGAGTAGGACAAAATAAGAACAGATGAAGTAAATGAGTCGACTCATCACCTGGCTTCACCCCAGCCCAATAGACTCTCCCCCCCCCTCCCCATTTGCAGCAATCAGACATTTCAGTGATGTACGGCTCAAAAGGCTGGGGCGCTGTGCCTTTGATCGGAAGGTCGCTGCTTCGAGTTAGGAAAGTTATTTTGCTGATTGGCCCTCGAGAAGACCCTTAAACCCCCCTCTGCTCCAACTGTCAACTGCCCATCCACAAAAAAAAGTACATCGCTTCGCAAAATAAGCATCTGCTAAACGAATAAAAGCGAATCATCACACCGCCAGTCCTGGCTTCGCCTTCGAATTAATGTCCAGCTCGCCGGAATCGGGGGCGACGGGCCGCAGAAACGAAATCAGATCGAGGGGCCGTATCGTCGGGGGACAACATCTGGGACAGGGATGGGGGAGGGACCCACGGCTGAGAGAGCGGGGATGGGGGCAAGGGATTAAACACGCCGAGCAAGGGCAGTGCGACGTCTGGAATGGATGTGATGTGAAGGGGGGGGCACATGGCTGGG